GCCCCGCCGCCGCCGCCGCACCGAGGGGCTGCCGCGGGGCTCCAGCCCGCCGGGCTCTGCTCCCTCTGTCCAGGAGCGAGGCGGCCCAGTAAGTAAATGCGGGGGTTTAAACCCATCAGCATGTACCTAGGGCCCGAAGCAGGAGGCAGGTACTGCTTCCTCCGTCTGGCAGCTGGGGAAAGCCGGGCACAGGGCGGGGAGGTGCGGGTCTGGGTCCGCGGCGGGAGCACGGCCCGGGGCGCTCCGCTCCGCTGCCACAGTGAGATCAGCAGGCCATCTCTTTTCTCATTAAAGCATTATTTATTTCAATGCTGAACTCACGGAACAGGTGCAATAAAACACACAGTGAAAATTCGTTTCTGCGCAGTGACATCCGATCAGTCAATAAACTGAACTATTTCATGCTCCAGGAAAGGGAGATGATATCAGTAGTTAAGATGGTTTATAAAGCAGCTACATTTCAACTAGCTCCAGGTCGCCAAGTAAGATACACAAATGAATGTTTAACTCTTAGTAAAATTATGAAAACCATAAGATATTTCAAGTTGGACTCTAAATATCACATATAAAATTTTAACATAAATCATGTTTCAAAAGCAAAACATAAATATAATTGAGAAAATATTTCTTTACCTTGCCTAGAATAAAATTTAAAAAATCACTGTCATGTCTTTTTTTTTCCATTTGTCAAAACTATTGTTTACAAATTAAAAAATGTAAATCTGTCTGTTTTAGAAATTTTATTTACTCCAAATATTCCATAGGCTGTTGTGCAAAAGTTGGGATATTTCCTCAAGATCTGATATTAATTCTCTCAGACCCTGCTGGTTGGATCATTCACATAGCTAGCTGCCCTGATGTTTTCATTGAGTACATGTAGTAGTTTAGGGCATTTTTTTTCTTTAAGGTAAAAAAAGCATCTTTTTCTATTATGGGAAGCCGAGTCGCACAGAGTCGGCTGAACAAACGTTCTCGGTCCTACTCACCTCTGCAATCAGATCGTGCAGCTCTCCTTCGTTAGGGCAGCACCCCAGTGACCTGACGATTGTTCCAATCTCTCTGGGGAAAAAGTGGTCAAGAGTCTTAGCACATGAACCCTGAACAGACAAGTGCTGAGTTTCTCTAGGCTATTTCAGAGCAGATGCAGTCCAGCAAATGTCACTCAATGAATATCACCTTGAGAGGCAAAAAGATACTTTCTGGGGAGAGGAAACGGCAGACAAGTAAACCAAGGAGAAAAGAAAGAAGTGAGTCCATTTACTGGTAAATGTAAGCCTTCCTGGGGCCAAAATCGAGAAGCTCTAGAAAAGGAGGAGAAAGGAGGAAGGAAAATAAATGTCAGCCACTTACTAATTTTAAGTGTTAGTTGACTCTTTTGAGCCCCCGTTTCCACATCTGTAAAATGGGAATGACAATGTCTACCCCAGGGGTCTGTGGTTAAAGTTTACATAGTGGCAAGGTACTTTAAAGCATGGCCTATAGTGTCAGGAAAAATTTCTGATAAGTGCCTTACTACCGCCAACCATCTTATTTCTTAGCTTCCTTTTGCTATCTCAATACTTCTTCTAAATTACTTATCTTGTAACTATCAATTCCATTTCTTTTTTTAAAATATTTTAAAATATGTTTTTATTGATTTTAGAGAGAGAGGAAGGGAAAGGGAGAAATATCAATCAGTTGCCCCCAATACACATCCCAACAGGGGACCAAACCCACAACCTGGGCATGTGCCCTGACCAGGAACTGAACCAGCGACTGTCTGGTCCAGGGGATGACCCTCAACCGACTGAGCCACACCAATCAGGGCTACAAATGACTCTCAAAGTTCTCCCCAAGAGCTCTGATTCTAAGATTATTTTTAAAAATACACACAAAATGTGTGGCTTATGTAAGAGAATGCTCTTGCTCTCAATGGACATACACTGGAGTATTTCAGAAAAAAGGTCACAATGTCTACAACTTAACCTCAAATAGTCCAGCAAATGAAAATAATAATAAAATGCCTCAATATGTATATATATGGAGAGAGACAGAGTGAACCCATGCAAGCAAAAGCTCATGTGGCAGAATGTTAAGAATTAGTGAACCTGGGTGAAAGTATATAACAGTTCAGTGCACCATTCTTTCTATTTGTCGACAAGTATGAAATTTTTTAAAGAAAAAGTGTTTATTTAAAAAAAAAAGAGAAGCAGATTTCAGTCTCAGTAATCAAAACAAAAATAATAAGAAATAATAACAGACATCCTGCCCTCTTATAAACTTATAAAACAATTGGCTCTTTTGTGTTATACTATTTTTATCATTTTGGCTTGAAACGTTGACCATCAAGGATGTGTTAACCTTCAGTTTCACAATAAACTATATGAGTTACAACCTTTTTACTCAGCACTTTAGGACCGAAAATTGAAAACTTGGCAACGCTGAACAGATCTAATATCATGCAGTACGAGTTGAGATGGGGCTGGCTATGGGTCCACCGGTCCTCACAGGAAATGAAAAGTATGTGGAAAGATGACGGAGCAATGAGGGGGCAGCACTGTGAACTGTTCCTGCTACCACAGGGTCAAAGCCGGGTTGCATGGTTGACGTGCACCGAGCCCTGGGCTCAGGCTCTCGAAAGACGAGCAGTTCCTAGCAGAATGGTCAGAGTGGCCTCTGGCCCAAGAAGGCTGGCTGATGGCACTGTCCAGCAACGGCCAGGTAGAGGGTGACTAACTTCACTCTTCTTAAATGTGTTCTTTCTGCAAAAGGTAATGTAATGAGTTGAATTAATTTCAGGAGGCCTCCCAAGTTCCCGGAGTCCCTGAGAGGACAGGAGAGGAAAATCAGAGCAGAAACAAAGATGACTCGGAGCCCTCCTGTTCCCATGTCCTGAATACAGGCCGGAGGCACAGAAGATGCTGATCCCACGAGCTCCTCTCACACTGTAATTCTGTGCCAAGAACACGGGGATGCAGCAGAAAGGGTCAGGTGGGCCCTGGCAAACTCCAGATGGGCTCGGGATGGAGCTGGGAACCTGGCCATTCTAGGGGAAACCATGCGGCTAACAGCTCAGCCTTGGGAGTAGCAAGGCTCCCGAAGGCCAGCTAAGGAAAACAGAGCAGGACGAGGGAAACACAGGCCAGAAAACAGTCAGCCTATAAATTTTGGTCAGAACTGCAAACTAACTCCCAAGGCCTTTACAGTTAAGTACTAAGAATTTGTGTCTGTACTTGGACTATACAAAGAGTACTAAACAAGGAGACAAAGTCATTTCAGAACAATTGAGTCACAATAAGGTTGCCCAGCAGTGACATCACCACTTGATTTAAGTATAGCAGTTAGGCCATTTAAAATGTTCAGCTGGGACAGGCGGGGTCCCGGGCAAGCCAGCCTTCAGGGGTGTAGTGTCGCGTTTCTGACACAAGGTGGGGCCAGTGCCGAGGAGCTAGGTTGCGAGCCTTCCGTTTAAGGGCAGTCTAAGGTCAAAAACGCGGAAAAGGCCTGATTCCAGACAATGGCTGCAATTCCAGGGAGGAAAGAGCAGGCAAATATTCTACCTTCTCTATGGACTAGCTGACATTGGGCTAAGTGTAAGAGAATGTTAAAGGCGATTCCAAAATGTCTACGAAGGAACAAAGGATTTGAAATGACTTTCATTTCTTTAATAAATATTTATTGAACACCTATGTGTCAGGAACCATTCACAGTAGAGCAGACAACAAAGAGAAAACCTTGCCCTTGAGGAAGGCATTTTTCACAGATTAACCTTATTTTGACAAAGTCTTGAAATAATGGCTAAATCTCCTTATTTGCAGAACTACTCTGTTTAAAAAAAAAAAAAAAGCCTTTTTTTCCCCAAATATCCCTCTAAGAAAGGGGGGGTCATTTTTCCACTGCTAAAATATGCTTTAGAAAACCCTCTGGTTCAAACTTGTTACATCATTATTTCTTACATCGCCCTCTGTACTAGGGTTTGCAGCTCCCAAATGAAGAACTCTGGATCTCCCACGGCTCAGGCGCTGCTCCAGGCACTGTGGTTACTGTCATGAATGAGACAGACAAGGCCCCTGCTCTACGCATGGAAAGCATGATCAAGTGGGAGAAAGCACACACACTCAAAGAAGTCCACATGGGAGCTGACTTTAGGAAATGATATATACTTTAAAGAGTGAAGAAAGCACCTCCACCATCATCATGATCATAGGTATTAACTGGCTCGGCACTTATTACTATCTGAAATTGTACTTATTTCTGTTTACTTGTATATTGTCTGTCTCTTTCCTCTAAAATATAAGCTCCATGAGGACAGAGGCCTTTCCCTGCTATATGCCAACACCCAGAAAGAGCTAACACATAATGGGGGCCCAATAAATACTTGTTAAATAGTAAATGAATTTGCAGAACACTTTAGAGTTTGAAAAATGCCTTTAAATTAAAAAATACTTTGATATACATTCACTCATTTCACTCTCGCATCAATCCATATTACAACCCCCATCTTAAAAATAAGGAACTAGAACTTGGTGAATTTGCCTGACTCACCTTCTAGGAATGTAACTAGTATGGAGCAAAACGGAATGTTGTCCTCAACCTCCAACTCCTGAGATTCCGTAGCGCAGCAGTCTTTGCAATAACATCTTCTTAGCACAAATCATGTGCTTAGTGTGATTTAAGGTGAAAAGTAATAGCAGATGGCCCTGGCCAGGTAGCTCAGTTGGTTAGAGCAGCATCCCGATACGCCAAGGTTGTGGGTTCGGTCCCCAGTCAGGGCACATACAAGAATCAACCAATGAATGCATCAGTGAGTGGAACCACAAATCCATGTTTCTCTCACTCTCCCTTCCTCTCTCTCTAAAAAAAAAAAACAATTAAAAAATAGAAAAGTAGTTGGAGTGAAAAAGACTCAGCAGACCAGCACCACTATGCCTTTTGCATATTTCTCATAGATGTTTTGGTTACAGGGTTTAGGAAATGTTTATTAAATTAACTGACTAAAACATTTTTCATTATTGTGAAAGGTCTAAATAGTTCCAAAGGCAGCACTGCCAAATGGCTGCTCGCCGCCCAAACAGGAAGTTCACTGTCCTGGAGTTTCCTTCTAAAAACAACACTGAAACAGTAATCACTGTTACAGGTAAATCAACCGATGGATGCTAAAATTAATGGGCAAAGTTTGAGGAGAAATAGGATATTTGCATAATCTCGAAGTGTCTTCCCCAAGATATTTACTAATTACAAAGGGAAAAATAAATATCTATAGTTGGGAATTGGCAGGCACTACCGTAACCAAGGGAGCAAGATTAACATCATCAGGAATGAAATACAGCAGCATCTAATATGTCCTGACATGATGCTCTAAAGAGAATACAATATCACTCCCATGATATTCCTGCCAAAAATGCATTACCTCAATCTATGCATGAAAGAACATCTGACAAACCCAAAATGAGGGATGTTCTACAAAATCACTGAGCAAGGACTTCTAACAGCATCAAGGTCACTGAGGAACTGTCAGAGATTGGGGGACTAAAGAGACAAGACAAGGAAATGTAACATAGGACTCTGGGTTGGATCCTGGAAGAGAGAGGGGAGGTTAGTGGAAAAGCTGGTCAAGCTCCAGTAAGATCCTTAGATAATAGCACCGTGGGATATGACCATTAGGGGGAGCCGGGCGAAGGATACACAGGAACACACTATTATTTCATGCATTTCTGTAACTCGATTAATTTCAAATAAAATGCTTTTTAAAATAATGAAAAGATTAAATTTCACAAAAATGGCATACTAAATTTCTTTTTTCTCTGTAGTCAAAGAATTCAGATATTTTCAGAGAATTACCACGTTACATATTAGGGATATCAGCCATTTGCAAATAACATTTTCTCAAATTGTCATTTATCTGTTTATTTTTCTTATTTTTCTTAGCTTGAAAAGAATTTTTATGTGATTGGGGGTGCATTAATTCTTTTTTTCTTTTTCAGTTATAGTTGACATTCAATGTTATCTTAGTTTTGGGTGTACCGCATAGTGGTTAGACAGTGATATAACTTACAAAGTAATGCCCTGTGAAGGATGAC